ACTCGCGCGGCGCTGCTGGACGGCGCGGGGCCGCCCGAACCAGGGGGCGGCGCGCCCCCGGCCTTGAGGCGGCGAACGCTTGGACGTTCGAGATATCCCGCGCTCCGTTTTGCGACCACCAGACCGCCGGGGGGGGCCGAATCCGCGACCAGCCAAGGGGGCGCACAAACCAGAAGGGTATAAGAAGACAATATCTTCGCGGAGGTCACTGGCGCGCGCGTCCGCCCCCTCCGCCGCCGGGCGAGGGCGCGGGCGTTCGGGGGCCAGGCCGGCCGAGGCGTGTATCCGAAGATGCGCGACTTGCCACGCATCCAGGAAGTGCTTGAACACGCGGGGGCGACCATCCACCAGGGGCCCCTGCCAGCCTGGGGGCCATCTTCGGGCGGCCCCATCGAGGGCCAAGTTCTGCCGGGAGAAGCGTTGGCTGCTCGTCTCCACGCGCGCGCTGCCTATAGGGCAAGCTCTCGCGACCCTGCCCGGGGCGTTCCGGGGCGCGCCGGCGCGGGGAAGTCCAGGGGGCCCTTCCTCGGGGCGGCGCTCGCGCGCGCCCGGGGGGCCGCCTAATGCGCTCTTTATCCGCACGGGCCATGGCCCTCGCCGCGCGCGAGGCGGAGCGAAACCCGCCCGCCCGACCCCGACGCGCCGCGCGAAAGAAGGGGGGGGGCGGGCCCGGACAGGCCCGTTTGTGTCCAGTGCGGTGCGCCGACTAGCGGCGCACCGTTGGCCCTTCTCGGAATGCCTGGCCCGCGTCGGGCTGCCGAACGGGAGGATGGTAGCTTCCTGGCAGGTGGCCAGCGGATTACCCATTTGCGCTCAGCGTTGCCAGGAATACCTTATCCGTCGGGCGAATTGGACAGTGGGCGGCGGGCGCCCCTCTTGGCGATCGCTCATGGGCGCCCCAGGCTTTAGCATGGGCGGCCCCGGCGAGGGAGTTACCTACGACCCAGTCGCAGGCCAACCCTGGGAGAAATTCGCTGGGGCCGCGTCCGCTCGCGTCTTATTTAGCGTGAGTGAGTGCCCTGCAGGCCGCGGACTACTTGACACACATCGGGGGGGTGGTATTCGGCGTCTGGCCGTCGGTTCCCCAACCGCGTTGGCCTGGGGCACGAGTTGGGCTCTTGGTGCCTTTGTGGGCGGGCGGCGGACCGCGGAACGGCTGGACCCCACTTGGCGCCACACTGGGTGTAACAGTTCTCCTCTCGTCTCCCTTTGTGAACCGCGGGGTCCCTTTGCGGGGAATCGGTTCTTGCTGGGGCTCGTCCCCACCTCAGGATTCCCCGTTGTGGCCTGCCCGTTTCTTCCTCTTCCCCCCCTTCTTCTTGCAGCCGTCTGGCCTTGAGCTGGTTGCGTGCCGCGCACTCCCTCCCACCCGACATCCCCGCTCCTGCCGCGAGCGGGGCGGCGGGCCGGGGAGCGACTGGACCCCCGTGGGCGCCACGCTTCGTGCAGAAGTGCTCCTCCCGTCTCCCCCCGCAAGCCGCGGGGCCCTCCACCGGGAATCAGTACGCCCAGTTCGGGCTGTGCTTCGCTGGGCTTGCCAGTGTTGGGGTGCGTATGCGTGCCGACGTCTCGCCCGGCGCCCGATGGGCGGCCGCCTGTAATCGCCCGGCGGGCGTCCCCTGGGCGCTGGGTGGGCGTGCCGACGTTTCGCCTGAAGGGAGGAGGAGGAGGAGGAGGAGGAGGAGGAGGAGGCCTCAGAGAAGGCACGAAGAAGTCGGATGTCGTCCCTCGAGCTCCTCGCTCGGGGTGTGTGAAGCGGCTCGGACGCATTGTGGTGCGCAAAGTCGCGCAAAAAAAGAGTCGGAACGCCCCGCGCGAACGCGCAGCGCCCCCGTTCCGGGGCCCCCTTTCGGGGGCAAGGCCAGGGGGTTTCATCAGTCGTGCCTTGCCGAGAGCGTACTGAGTATGCCAGGGTCGGAATCGTCCCGATCAGCCGCTGGAGGTCCGAGTTATGGTCCGACGCCGACAAGTGGTCAACGCCATCTCAGGGGCAACGGCATGAAAACGAATTGCCCAGGGGGGAGGCATGTATCCCAAGTCGCCCATTCATCGCCAATCGGGGCTTCGCCCCCCCCCCCATCCCAGCCCAGGAAAGCTCGGTTTCGCCATCGGCGGCCTGTCAGTGATGCATCGGCGGTGCGTCGCGGATTCCAGGCGCATCTCCCCGATCGGAGGTGGCCTGGCCAGTTTCTCCTGGGACAGTATCGGAGCTTGGGGTTGCGAGCTGCCGCGCGCGAAGGGGTCCGGTCAATTTTGCGTCTTAGCTAAAGTTATGATGTTCCAATCTAGTTTAGCCTTGACCACCAGAAAGACTTTCGACCACCGAGAAAGTACCGACACTGGAGGGTTTTCACGTGTCGGGCCCTGGGAGGCGATACTCGTTCGACACTGTTTCGATACTTGTCTGGGTGCTCGAAACTATTTCTGGGATGTCGTCCTTAAGTACGATGGGAGCAACATGCAGCTAATATTGTTCTGATCACACAGTGGGACCATCCGCTCTACGATGCCACGTGACTAAGAGCCACCTCGGACCACGCGCGCGCAGGGCCGCGAAGGGTTTCGCCACAGGGCAGATCATCCGACGAAAAAGAGCTATAGACCAGACTATCGGGAGGCAGGGCTTCAGCATTCAAAGGAGGAGCGAACGTATCATCGCTCCTTCTGGATACCCATCGGTCGTTCAAAGTAGTTACGTTTGGAGACCCAGATTCCAATCTACTTTCAGCGCCTTCCTACTTCAATGATCGAGTGGCTTTCCCTCTTCCCTCCTCTTTAGGGGGCGGGTGGAGACCCTATCTACTTTCCACGCCTTCTTACTTCATGGTTCTACCTACAGCTTCCGACCGATGGGTAATGTCCAACAGATGGATGAGGTCAAGCCACGCAGATAGAGATGCAGCAATTGCCAATACGAAGAACGATTGCAAAAGCCCCGGCGTCTGCGCCGCCTGTTGCAATGTAGGACATGTTCTCGGGTAGTGCAGCCAGCCAAATCAGTCATGCATTTTGCTGAGGACGCGCCGGGGTCAGACTTACGATCGGAATTGACATTGAAAACTAGAGAGGAGGAAATGCAGCAGTTTCGAACCATTGGCTTTACCAACACCTAGGGAGGAAGTGCGTTGAACCGTTACTGTAAAGGCTCCGATTGGAACGAGATAGGTCGACATCAACCAAGGCGACGAAGTTATCCCAGAGTTCCGTTCGGGGCTACTAGCGCAGCGCGTGAAACGCAATGTAAAGTAGAGCAGCATCTTCGCAGACACGGCGCCACTCGAAGCACGGAAATTGTTCTCTCAGGCAGTTGTTGAAGGCATCGGATTCCGGGCACGGGAACATGATCAAGTTGTTAGTTCGATATTTCTATCGACGTTTGTGTATGATTTAACCAGGAATGAAGTTTGTGTCGGGGTACCAACCGGTGGATTGCGAGTTGGGCACGTGCGGGATATGGTAAAACCTATGTGAGGAACGAGATATGCAGAGGTAATTGGGAGGATTGTTGCATGGCTTGGTTTCAAGAGTGGGTCAGCTTCGGCACGCGTGTTCGGGCCATTCCAGGATATTGCGATTAACGATGCATGGCGACGATTTGGCATCGGCGGGAAGCGATGATGGTATTAATGGGTTGGGGGAAATACCAAGGAGGAGCTCGAGCTTAAGGCGCGAGGTTTTGGATAGGACCAGGACTTCACGACACGAATTCTATACTAGTCCTAGAAACAAAGATCTAGAATGGATCACCGAAGGGTTATGGTATGAATGCGACCAGAGACACGCGGAAATCTGTGTAACAGTGGTAGATCTCATTCGAAGTCGGGTCAAAATAGAGGTATGGGGAGAGAAATCCACTTGCGACGAGCATGAACCTCCACGTTTTCAGCAGGGTGTCAGGAAGTACCAGGTGTTCATGGCAAGAGCGAACCAGTTGGCACAATGCAGTCCATACTCCCAGTTCTTTGCGAGATAACTTGCAAGATCGATGTCGGACCCTACAGAAGGGATCCGTCAAATTTGGGGTATACATACCTTAGGTCTCACGGTTGGTCTAAGTTTGGGATAGTGTTTTGGACCAGCACCGATTTTAGTAGATGTAACGGGCCGCGCACGTTGACCAGCGGAGGAGTCGTTATGTGGGGCTAATGTTTCAGAATGTTCTGAAGTGCCTCTCAGAGCGTTATTGCGTAATCTTTTGGGAACGTTGAGTATTGTTGAATTGTGAGAGGAGGATATGTAGGGTTGGGTCTGCAGCTAGTGTTAAAATGTGTTGAAGTTGTTTGCGGTATGGCTTTACAGAGTGATGCCGCTGCCGCGGTCGCAACTTCCAGGAGACCAGGATTAGGTTAGGGCCGACCTATGGGCTAACCTACTACAACATAGGAGGTGCAGACCATCATTCAGTCCCATTCTGCACAGAGTCTGGTGAGGGTGCCACTTGATACGAGACACGTGATATGCACGCGGCACATTTACGCCGGGATACCTTAGCCGCGTAAACAGGCACTCTATGTATTAACACACACTTGGTCAACGGCGAACGTAAGTTTGCATGAGAAGTGTATTACAGTTTCACGGGCATGATCTGTAATGTATAGATGTAGTGTTAGCGCTCCGACGGCATATTTTGCGTCTGGATCTTTGCCGAGGGGCGTTGTTCAATATTAGGACCCCGTGCGTGTCGGAGAGCAACCTACGTTGGCTCCCGCATTGTCCGTTTCATCTCTGCCAATTGTGACCGTTAAATTTGCGCTGTTTGGTTCAGAGGGGGAGGCTTTGTGTACACCGTCATTTGTCGCCGTTGGAATGCTCTTACCGAGCGTCCCCCTCCAGAGCTTGCAGGGGGAGGAGGAGGAGGAGGAGGAGGAGAAGGCGAGAGGAACGAGGAACGAACGGGCAACAGGACGGGCAGGGGGAGCTGGGGGTCGGGGACGGGGAGGGCAGGGGGAGGGACGGGAGGGGGGCGGAGGCGCCTGCGCCCCGGTGCCCGCGCCCGCAGGGCCGCCCCGGCCCCCCCCCCCCCTGCGCGCGGGGCCGCCGCCGCCGTCCGCGCCTGGGGGGGCTCTCCCGTGCAGCGGGGCCCGCCTTTGAGGGAAGAAACACGACGACCACGACCAGCATGTTTTCAGAAAAGAAGGGGAAACCATGGAAAGTGGAGGGGGGGAAGGCGAAAACTCAGAAAATATGTGAAAATATGGGGAGTCCTGGGAGTTGTGTCTATTTATTTGTGTGTCCTAGGGCCCTCTGCAATGTTTCGGGATTTTGTCGAAGCAGGTCCTGGTCACGGTGCCTGCCAGTGGTCGCCGAGTCGCGTGGGTGATCTAGGAGTTGACGAATGGCCAAGATGGACGTCGACGAAGACCGACACCGATGTCTCCGCGTTCAGTCTCGGTCATGGTCACAGTTTTTTTTCCCGCCACGCCCGGCTCGGAGATGGAGGGGGAGGACTGCCGGGTCGAGGGGTGGGAAGTCGGGGGCAATGATCGGGGGGATTGGTTCAGGCGGGGTGAGTGCATCGACCTCCAAAACGCTCATGCATCGCCGCAAGGAGTTTGATAGCCCGCCCCGCCCATGACCGTGCGGTTTCGCCATCGGGGGGTTATCGCCGATCTATTGGTGATGTGCTGATCCCAGGTCGATGTTTCCCCCTCTGAGCCAGTCCCCCCGTATCGTTCCCTCTCATGGGAAACCCGGGGAGACATAACTAGGGGGAACAAAAAGTGCATAAAAACATACAAACTCGGAGGTCCGCGCGGATTTCTCGGAACGGCGCAGGAATGGTGACGAAGACCGACAGCAGTTCGCGTTCCGTTTGAGCATGATTCGCTGTCGGTGTCGCCGCGGAAGTTGTCCATTTGAGTCAAATGCCTCCCCTGGCAAGCACTTCGCCTGCCCATCAGCGGCCGCTGTCGGTTTGCGGTAAAACATGCCGTCGGGCATCGGGCCCATAGTTCCCATAGATTTTCGGCGGCGCGTGACGCCCGTGTCGCGTGTTAGCTGCACCTGTCTTGCGTGGGTGGATCGCCTCCGCGCAGCGATGCTTCGTGCGGCGTGATTGCGCCGATGTTGTACGACTGCACGCTCGTTCGTGCGGGCAGAGCGCCTCCGCGTGACGACGCCTCCTGTAGCGTTCGGGCATGCCGCCGAGTCTGTTCCCTCTCGGCGCCAGGGGCCCCCGCCCCCCCCTTCCCTTCTGGGCGGCGCGCCAATCTTTTGGAGCGTCGTTCCGTTTTGTTCGTCCAGCGGTTGCGCTTGCCACGCTTTTCTTCTTGTTGGGGCGTTCTTGATTGGTTGTTCGCCTTTCGCCCGACCCTTTCCGGTTTTGCCCTCGCCTTTCCCTCCTTGCGCCTCGCCTTTTTTGTTCACTGCTCGCGTCACAAATGTGGAGAGCCCGGTCGGCCCGTGACAAATCATGCGAATTGCGATTGCGCGTCGAGGATCCGGCGTGTTCGTTATGCCGAGTTGTTCGCGGCAAGTCTTGCGCACCGCGATTGCGCAATTTTCGGCGCTTCTAGTTCTCGAGCACCACCGAAAGCTGCACCCCGCGACAAATCGTCGCCCGCACCCGTGCAATGGCCGCAGCAAGTGACGCGCTCATCCGCGTCGTTTCGGGGCGTACTCCTTCGTCTTTGAAGGGGCCCTGGGGCACACAAATAAATACACACAAATAACAGGATTCCCAATCTTTTCCTATATTTTCTGGGTTTTTGTCTTCCCCCCCACTGCCCATATTTCCCCATATTTTCTGAGGAATGGACGATTAATTGTGTCTGTGTGTTTTTTCTCCCTCCTGAGTCTTCTTCGTCGCCTCTCCTCTCCCTCCGTTCCCTTGTCGTCACTCACCCCCCTCTTCCACGTCGTTATCTGTCCGTTCTTCTGGCCTCCAATGGGTCTATCGCGTGGCACTCGTGGGACGTATTGGTAGTATCCTGGGGTACTGTTGGGTTGTCAGGGGGGCTTTTTGGGGCACTTTTGGGTCGTCTCGGGGCTGTCAGGGACACTTCGGGGCCATCGTTGGCCGTCGTGTGTTGCCCCGGGGGTATGTTATTCTCCATGGAGGTGGATTTTGCCGGTAGCTTCACTTACGAATTCGCTGTCGAACGCAGAGGTCACCAACACGTTCACGACGTCGTGGATGAAAGTGCCCTCCTTGGCGAACGCTTTGACAAACAAGGAAGCTAAGTTTCAAACATGCGTTTCCGACAAGCCCCAGGAGATATAACATTTTGTTAGTATCGTCACCTCCTCCAAACGCGCGGCCGTGTTATCCCACGCATCTGCTTTGGAGCTAGTCCCCAGCTACTTCGGCAGTGTTTGGATGTGAATCTTCGCACTTCACGGCCGACCTCCTGCAAGAAGTGCAGCAGTGGGAGTACAAGCGACTTCGTTAAATGCTTCGCCTGCACAGGCGACCAGACCAGGGCCCTGAATCTTCCAACCGGAGGTCGGCGAATCTTATGCGCAAATGGTTCGAAGATGCCAGCGTCAAGTTCTGTGCCCACCGCATCTCGCGCGCTATCCGCGCTGCAGCTTGGGACGAACAATGCGCTGTTTTAACATCTGGGCATAACCCTTTACTTTCAGCACGGGAGCACTGGAGCCAAGTCTGGTGGCGGACTGTAGTGGCATCGTGCATTCTCGCCTTGGGCACCGTGCTGCATGGGAATACCAATTGCAAAATTTGCGGGTCGGAGTGGCGCTGTGCGCGGCGACGTTGCGGCCCCCGCTCCGAATGGTGACGCGGTTCCGAAAGTTTTGTTAACGCTCCCGCCCTGCATGATATCTGCCCTCCACCAGAACGAGCTCCACATACATGTCGTCCTCCTGTCGATCGCGTTTCGGCCATTCTCCTGGGTCAGCCGCCACATCCTGGCGATGCTTGTTGGGGCGCGCAACAAGACGTTTGTGGATCCAGGTTGATTGTTTGGGCGTTGCGCAGGTGGTCAACGGCGAGGCCGTTGGCCTTGCACCCCAGTTCGAGCCGCTCTTCAGACGGATCGGTCGCCCTGGAAACCCCGGATGGACATCGACCCGCACGTAGACCCCGGATCGACCAACACTACAGTTGATCACATTGTCAATTTGGCAGTGTACTCGAAAGCTCACGTTGGCTCCCTGGACCCCGTGGGAATCTGCGAACATGCGCGCGCAGGTGGGGCATTCAAAGTTTGCGTTGACGGTGGCTTGCGGGAAACGTGGGATTCGGACGGCAACCAGTTGGCTGCAACCAGGATGGTGGTCTACGGCTCCCAGAAGGATGCTTCTGCTGGGGTGCAATATCGTTGCTGCGGGCTCATCGCCGAGAAGGTCACCAAATTGAACTCGGCCTTCCAGTGTGAGGCCACAGCTTTAGATTGGGCATTGGATAGAATTTCCCAGCACCTAGTATAGCTCATGTTGTACTCAGGGCTTCCTCTCTGCCCTCCCCTTCCCTCTTCTGCCCGGTGCCTGATGTCTGCTATGCGTAACAGCATGCCGACGATAAGAAAGCACCCACCCCCTTAATCCCTGAGTCATGGTTATCCATGGGGTACTCATATTCGGCCGGCGGAGCGGCGAGGCCGAATATCATTACCGCAAAGGAAAGCACGAATCGTACAGTGAATCATTACATAATTTGCATCCTTTGTACCATCAGCATTCTGTCATCATCATCGCTTCTGGTAACCTGGTAACCCCTCACATGGTACGTGGCCCCATGTGGTGCCTTAGCGGCACGTTTGCTATATCTCGGTGGGCATAGGATTCATTAAACAAAAGAAGCTACCGCCGCTCATCGCCGTTCTCGCCGAACGCGCCCCAGGTGAATTTATCGATCGCCCTCATTGGTTATCACACCCAGTGTGCAGCCACGACAAGAAGAAACCACCAAGACACTTCTCAGCTTTACATCTGTAACTTGACAGGTCCGACAGTTGAACTCTCCGGAGTTATCCTCATCATCATCTTCTTTTGGCAGGCGAGCCCCCTAATAGTGGCCACTGCGTCATGTTTCCATCGTTTGTTTTTTCAGGATTCGTGGTCGCCCAATTCCATCTAACAAACTCCAGGGGAAGGCTTTTCCAGATCAGCTGAAAGGTCTGTCAAGACCCATCCATACATTCTCTAAACACAAATTATTCAATCGCTTCACTCATTCCGCCAGCCCGTACTGTGCCATCGCAGGCGTTTGCCTACGCGTTCGTGGCCTATTGGGGCTTCTTGGGGTCCGTTTTGGGGCCTTTGGGAGCTTCTTTTTCGGCCTCTTGGGGGTCTCGTGGGGCCTCCAGGGAACCTCCTGGGCTCTCTTGGGGGTCTCTTGGGGCCTCCTGGGGGCTTCCTGGGGCGGAAAGCTCGAATTGGTGGTTCGTGTTCCCCCTTTTGGGGCCGTCTTTGAGCCCTCTTTGGCGATCATGGGCGCCGCTGGGCCCCTTTTGGGGTCGTCTTGGACCGTCTGGGGGCCTCTCCGGGCCTTCTTGGGGCTCTCTTGGGAGGCCTCTTGGTGGCCTCTTCGGGGGTCTTGTGCGCGTCGCGGGACGTCTGGAAGCCATCGTGGGTGTTTCGGACCGATCGTTCGACGATTCGGAGCCATCTTGGACCGTCGTATGCTCCTTTGGGGGTCCTCTTGGATCGCTTTCGGGCGCCCAGGAGGAAAACCATCTCTGGCCCGACCCTGCCGGGGATGTGGCCGGGGTGTTTCGCGTCCGGGGACCCCTAGGGGCCGCCCCGCGCGCGCGAGGTAGAAATATTGTGAAACAGTCGCCGGGGATCTTAGCGCGCCTCTGGCCCGGTGGGTCGGCGAATTATCATCCCGGGGCCCACCCCGAAATATATGATCCACATGGTGTGATTATCAACGGCACAGGGTTAGTCAGGCGTGCGTCGGCAGGTTCTCAAGTTGTTACATGGTACGCACCCGGCCCTCGGGGCCATCATGAACTTAAGGGTGTCATCGTTTCTTTTTTCCACATGAGTTGGTAAACGCCACGCTGTTGCGAACCTCCTAGCCACTCGCAATTTGGTTTGCAGAACCCATGCGGCGGCGATTATGATGAGTGCTTGGCGTTGGCTAGTGCATCAGCGCGGCGACGCTAGCCCGCGCATGCTCGCGCGCACAGAGGCCAGCTAATTTGGCGCGACCGACGCGGCCGCGGTGGCGTTGACCGCTGGGCACTTCCAGCGGGCACCGCAGTGCGACTCGGTGACTTGGGCGGGCGCGGTATCATGGCGACGCCGACCACGGTAGACACGAGTATGACAGTAGCGATGATGGTGACGATGGTGGCGACGACGACAGCAAGGCCAATGACGGCGCCGATGCTGATCGCGCCCGCCGATGTCGATGATGACGTCATCGCGTCGGCCATGCACGCGCGGCCGATGCGCCGAGTGGCCCGCGTGGTGTTATTTGACACGCATGGCGCCCCCCCCAGCACGCGCGCAAGGGCTTTCGAATGATCCCGACA